AATTTCCATCCACAGTCTCAGTTACGGCGTCATTCGGGTGGACACAGAGGACTCCTTCACTTCTCTAACCCTTCAAGACTGCGGCCAGGTCCTGCCCGGTGGTGAGTCTTTACTGAATTATGCATGGACTGCGGAGTGAAATAGGGTTGTTACGTTTGATACTCTGACTGCGATTCCAGTACGGAACCCGCACAGGCACTGGCATAACAATTATGGACTTGGGCATTCCGTTTTACAATTGGGGTTATCGCGGCGAACGACACTTCTGTGTGGATTAATATCCTGGATTGTCGTCACAGTAAATTCCTAAATCAGCTAGTATTAAATCTGTCCAACTTGACGGGGGATCAGATTTCAGTTAGTGTATCCTGCCTCTATGCGGGTGTGTTCGATACCTGGTCAAACAGTCGCTAACATTCTGAACAAAACGATCACGTTTTATTATGCCTCTGGTCTTCAATTCAACCTAATCCTAGCGATATTCCCACCTCTTCCTGTCCATCGACACCGAAACAACGCGCCATGCATGAAGTTTGGAGCCCGAGATTAGTTGTAATCCCCTAGTTACCGCCCTCAGCTTCACACCGTCATTTGCAACCCCCCACCACATGCGCGGCCTTATCAGAAGATCAAAGGACTAGAAAAATTTAATAAAACCTCATAGAAAAGCTGGTCGCTTGTAAAGTAAGCAATCGCTTAGTCTCAACCAAATCTGCTTTTCTTTGTGTCTACAAATAAATTGGGAGTGTGTAGGCTTTTGGAAATCCTGGCACTCCAGCTTTTGCTAGCGAGGGAATTTTGAAATCGGTGTAACAGGTTTGGCACGTATGGTTACAAACCTCTTAGCCATTCCGTTTTGGTTGCATAACGTTGGTCGGTAATCAAGTCATCCTTTCACTACGGATTTCTTTCTCATACCCTCTCCAATCAGCCATTTCTTGCATATGTTGTCTCTCCAGGCAACTGTGATTTAACTTATACCAGCATGAAAACGTCGCACCTTTCTTCCAAAATGAAATCGTTTGCCTTTTGCTTTCCTCTTAAAACACATTTCAGCTACCATGGTGGTTGTCAGTCTCGGCCCTAAGCCCTTCATCTGTCGGACGGACGAAGTGGGTGAACTCTGCATCGCGGCCGATTATACAGGCGCAGGCTACTGGGGTTTGCGTGGCCAGACGGGTACTCACTTTCACGTTCAACCCATCCATGCAGATGGTCGCCCCGTGGGTCCGCCGAATGCACAGTTTGTTCGCTCAGGTCTGATAGGCTTCCCCGGACCGGCTTCTTCGGTAAGTCACCTACATCCTTTTCAGCTGTCCCTCTGCGTGATGCGAGACGAGCAATTTCCTTGATTTTGTCGTAAGACGACTTCATTTGCAACCAGGCAGTGCCTCTCCCATCAGTTTAATGCCTGTGCAGGAGCTCTTCTCTCCTGCACTCATATATCCATGCTGTATTATCTCATTGTTGCTGTGACCTCTAACACAATTTTGATAAGATCTCAGACTCGTTTCTTTTTGTTCTCTGGTTCACACTAATTTTTTTCGCAATCTCAATTTTTAACGATTTTCCAGAAACTTTTTGTTTTACGTTTTCGCGTTTTTAAGTCTGGTTAAACGTTCCAGTGTCGTATGGCATCTAGTTTAAGTCGACGAACGATGCAGCCTAAATGCGGCACTTTTGGAAAAGCGTTAGCTTTCAACCCGCGGAAGGTGATTAACTAAAAATTTGTCGGATTGGCGCTGGGATGCTCTGGTATAGATGAGAACTGTTAAGTCGAAACTTAAGCAAGTATAAGGTGTTCCAGCGTTATTATGGATTGTCCTAACAACCCGAATGTTTGCTGTCTTTTTATAGAAAAACAATTCTACTTATCTGCCAGTTGGCCTTGCCTTTTCAGACGCATTGAAACTATTAATAGCTTAAGGAATTTATGCTGTCTTCACCGCTTGCCACCTACCGCTTTGCCTTTTTCTTGTAATCCATCTCTGAATCCGGCTAGAATCGGATGCACCCACCAACTTGTTTGGACGTTTTTTCGTTCAAATTTTAACTAAATTAGTCAATTGATATGATTAAAGTCTTATTTTTCATTGATATAACTCAACTTGTTTAGACTCGACACGTTCCCCAGTCAAGGTCTTTAAGACGAGCTCACAAGGCCATCCTGGCAGTTGCAGGTCACTTTTATCAAACGTACTGCAGCATTTTCTACCGCCCCCCCCCCTCCTGGTTTATACTCCATTTCTTTATCTCAAAGAACCGTTCCCGTTTGAACCTATCTGCCTATTCTTTCTACCCATACTGTGCGCACACAAAAATGCGTTTTGCGTTCGTTCGAGCCTCGTTATTTCGTTCTAGGATACTGGAAAAATGTTTTTGCTCAACCAACTATATTTGTCCACATTTTTAAAGGGCGGACTTATCTTCATCTGCGGCTCGATTGAAGGCCTTCTTACTGTCGCCAATAGACGACACAATGCCAACGATATTATTGCTACCGTGATCGCCGTTCAGCCCACGAAGATTGTCTATCGGGGCCGGTGAGTACCTGTTTCTTTCCAACCCTTTGATGTTTACGGTCAGGGGGAAATTGACTCTCCAACTGCCCACCAAACTCACACAAGTTAATTAGTGTTAACTCACCTTGTCCACGGTTTTGTTAAAAAAACACAAGTGACTCAGTATAGAAACTTAATGTTACTTAAGTTTTGTACTTTGTTGGAGGCCTTCGTGATTATGGACATTTAGGGACACTGACGTGATTTTTGTATAACTTTTTATTATCACGTTTCCTAATGCTACCTGCAGAGTATACTTTTTGGTCCAAACATGTTAGAAAATTTATTCAGCGCTACTTGATTGTTTTCAAATATCATAGATATTTTGCTTAAACCTAAAGTACAGAACCTGGAATATATAAATCGCAACGGCAGGTGTAGTAATCGGCTTTATTTAGGTCTACAGAGAAATTGGTCAGTTTTTTAAAATAGAAAGTCTCACTGCATGTACGGCCAGTTAAGAAGGCCAAAGTTTTCGCCCTTTTCTTCCTTCTCATCTCTCGCTCTGCTCCCCGACGATATTTCCTCGCTATGTCCTGCTTTCTCGCCATTTTCCGAGCCGATTATTTATTGCTCTTTATCTTCAGGATCGCTGTCTTTTCTATCGAAATGCTAAAGGACGAGCGAATAGTTGTTGTAGCTGAACTGCGAAACGGCTTCCCCGAAGAGACTGCTTTCTCATGGATGTCCCAGGTCCTACAGGCTGTCGACAGCATCCATCAAGTCAGCCTTTATGCTCTGGCTCTGGTGCCCCAGAATTCTCTATCAAGAGTGAGTTTTTAACGTCTTTTCTCATCCAACCTCAGAGTCGTCTACTTGAATGTTTGAAATTTTGAACTAGTAAACGTATTCAATCTGCGTAGGACCTAACACCTAGACACCTTGTAGGCGAACACAAAAGTACAGTCAAGTCTGTTTATGGAGAAGGGGGTGTACTTCTGTTTTTGGCATTCTCCCGTCCTGTATATTAAGGTTTGGGATTAGAAAACCCAGCTCAATGATTTAGTTTTTCTGCTATAAAACCCTACACTTGGTTAGCAGCCTTCGTTCATGCGTTCTATACGGGATCTGGTGGATATCTAGACAAATTTTCATTTTTATTCTGGACTTCACACATGCTTCTCTTTCCACTTATGATAGACTCCCTTCGGTGGCATCAACATCCACGAGGTTCGTCGACTGTTCTCCGAGGGCTACCTGAACCCCCTCATGCTACTCCTCTGTCCACACTCGGCCATTCAGAATCTACCCCAGCCGCGGTCACTTCCGCCTACGAACCTCGTTGGTCCCTCCGCCATAATGGTTGGCCAAGTCGTTCAAGGAGCTCGTCTGGCTGAAGCGCATGGACGCTCTATTGCTGCGAACACCTCAGGAAGCATGACAGCCCTCGGTCCCGGTGCGCCGGATCTCACCGTAAGTCTCATGTTTGCTTCCTGTGATCTTGGGCTAAACTAAGATCCATCCGGCATTTCGGATACTGATAG